TCCATTGCGTTCCTCCTTTTCCTGCTCACTTCCTAAGAATGGCAACAATTTTGGGAGTTCTTGCTGCTTACCTAAATTTACCAATGAGATAAGTAACTAAATGAATCAGTTTAATCAATAATGGCAAATATCACATCCATCCTGCTCCCTTATATTTATTTACTAATATGTCAATAAAATAGAAAGCAACTATTTATTAATGCATATAGTCTATAAATAAAAATATTATCTCAGTTTGTCATTAATTTTCTTTTCATTTCACTTTAATTTCATTTCAAATTCAAACTGTTCAACAAAAACTGGAGTCGGAGTCGTCGTGTTTCTTAGCAACACGGACTCCTTTTACCACAAAATCTACCCGACTACGATTCCGACTCCACAGCCCTAGAAGTAAATCTTAAACACTTATTTCCTCAAATAAATTCCAGAATGGATTAAACATGATTTAATTCGTAATAATAAAAGAAGGCGTTATCTTTGTTGTTGCGAAGTTAGTTTCTCTAGATTGGCTACAAATCGGCTATTTTGCAAAGTTTGAAATGTACACAAACATGTGCACCATGGCAAAATTAATTACCGCACTTAAACAACTTTTAAATTGTTAATAACTCCAAAAATATTGCTTCTAGAATTACGAAAGGCATAAAAGCCTTAACCGGAAGATAAAAACAACATAATTCAATCATTTTTAAAGCAAAAAATGTACAATTTACAAACATATATGAGTAAAGAAACTGAGATTACTGAGACGGATAACAAAGTGGATACATATATAAATATATTTATATACGTTTAGTGCGGCCGATTGCAACCAAAATACGAGGTGCACATCTACATGTTATAGAAGTCCTATATACAAAATTTCAACGTTCTGAGGCTTCGTTTTTGAGTTATGCGAGATACGTACGTACAGACGCCACGAAAATTTCTCTTTAGAATTAATTTTAAATCAGTTTTATAATTTTTTTTGGGGGGAAAGAGTCTTTTATTCTGTTCTTACTTACAGATGTGACGCAAAAACATCGTTAAATTGCATTCAATAGCGGTCAAAATGGATATTTTCATTGCAATATGATGCCTGAAACTTCCGCGATTACAATACTTCCTTTTTACTTCGTACAAGGAAGTAAAAAGGCTCTTTATCCTAAATGATATTTAAGAGCAATAAGGACTTAAATTTTTCTTTCACAATCAGCTGCTATATAAGCTTAATTATTTTATATTTTTTTTTATATATTTTTCACTGTAAATAACTGATATGCTCACTCAGTATATATACGACAAATGCACAACTTATTAAAAAATTAAATTTGAAACATTATTATTTTTCTATTATTATACATAACACTATTAATGAATGATGAATTTATATAATATTATACACTTATATACTGTATATACTTTGAATCTAAAAGCGATAAACTTTGAATTTTACTATTCATACAATTATAAATACACATTCATATGATTACAAAATTTTATTAGAAATCTATTATATGTGTAATTATTTGCAATCTTTAAAAACTGTAATAACATGAAAGCATATTTATCCCTACAGAACAAAGACAATTTTTTTTTTACATTAGTACAAGTATGAGATATTTTAATGTTTCTAACTATATATACTTAGGTATCCTAAACAATCCTAAGTTAACAATGTAATTTAAGCAGATTTCGTCGCATTAAGAGAGAGAAATCATAGAAAGAGTTTCTTTCGTTACTGAACAACTTTCTAATTCCTTCCGAATGCATAAGAATCAGAATTTTTGAATGACTATTTCCATTAGGACTAAAGGAAAAAAAAGGGGAGGATCCTTTGATTTTTTACTGGACGAACTAACTTGAAATCAAAATTCTCCTCGTTAACTACTGTCACGTAATTTACTGTTTTTATAGCATTGCAGAACAACTGCTTAGCAAAACAGTAGAAATAGCATAATTAATTCATTCTCTTGAAGACAGAATTGGAGTCTTCAAATGCCATGCCTAATATATTGTTACAGATTTTGTATAAATGTAAATAATTTTAGTGAAATTATATGTAAAATTGTAGTATCTTTTGTATAATGTAACACGAAAATCTAAAAAAAGAGAGGCTTTGCTTTTTCCCCCTTCCTTCTAGTCCAAAGGAGCTTGTCCCTATAGGACTATTGTTTTCGTTTTACATTGGTTCACTATAAACGTCCATTTCACTTTTCAAACTGTCGCCACCAAATGTTAAGAGTCCTGCATTAAAAAAACATTTTTAGCTCCAGCGCGCGAGTCTCTGTATCGAAAATTCTAAAGATATGCTCAATTTAAAACTATCTTGCGGTATTGCTCTTGAACTGAATTTTATGTTTTCAGTGCGAAGAACGCGATATGTAATAAATAACGTAACAGACAAAATGTAACATCCCGCCCCCTGTGGACGTAATTTAAAATCTGGAACCTTTCAGAATTTTATTTTATCCCCCCCTAATCAGAATGTTATTTCTCTTTCTGAACCGAAAATTTCTTACAACGGGAAGGACTATAATTCCCCCCCCCAATGCTGGAACTTAACAGACATTATTTCTTTTCTAATCCAATCCAGCTTGACCCACAAACCTTAAATATATATTGCAATTAATTATATATATATATATATATATATATGTTGTATGAAAATCCATTTAGTGCGAAGACAAGTTATTACTTGCGCAATTGCTGCAAAGTTAGTTAATAATAATTTATTTCCTAAACAGTATTGATAATTGATTAATGATTATATTATCTCCTAAGTTTAATTAAGTAGAATTATTTTAAAAGTGTGCATCCATACTGGTAAGTTATATTTGAAAGATGTTTTGAAGTAATTTGAAAGCAAAATGTTAATAATGTTTTAACGGGGACTGAGTTAAATCATCAGGAGAATAAATACATTGTAAAAGTAAAAATTAAATTATCTTTTTATAATAATTAATTATCTTTTTTATAATCTTCTATGTTTATTTCAACTTTACTTTGATTTCGATTCATAATGACAATTTCCAATGTTTAATTTCTACAAATAATATAGTACTCAAATACATAAAGATGATATGTCGGGGACGATTCTCGAGTTTTACAGATTTCTCTACAGTAATTGATTTTTACTCCAAATTGAATTGACTAAAAGCTCATGAGATAAGTTCTTTGAGTAACAACTATTCGCGAAATATTTGGCCTGACTAGAATTGCCGGTTTGGCTTTAACTTATAAACTCGAGTAAAGACGAAACACTTTCATATTTACGTATTTTTATCAATTATTGATCATTGAACGGGAGTTGGTTTGTTCCCTTGAAAAGTCAACTAATTTCGATCAATGACAATAATTACATGTTTTAATTTTTTACTTTTACAATTGTAATATTATTCTTCGTGATGATTTAACTCCAGTCCCCGTTAAAACATTATTAACATTTTGCTTTCAAATTACTTCAAACATCTTTCAAATATAAACTTACCAGTATGGATGCACACTTTTAAAATAATTCTACTTTAATTAAACTTAGGAGATAATATAATCAATTAATCAATACTGTTTAGGAAATATAACTTTTACAATTTTTAATTTAGCGTTTACTGTTTTACACAAAAACTTGCCCACCCTGAACACCAAAATTTGAACAAAATACTAACTTTTAGATATTCAAAAGAATTAATTTTAAGTCGACGCTTGTAGCACTAAGTTTACAGATTGCATTGAAATGAGACACCTTCCACGATTCTCTGATCAGGCTTAAAATAACCGTCAGCGTCGATGGTGTGTTTGCGGAATACACGTGGGATTACGGAAGTATTTTCGTCCCACAGAAATACTCCCTTTTAACTCATGCAGCGTCGGTGCCTGAGCAGTCTGTTGTCATTAAATGCAAATTGTCGAGATACTGGTACAATTCAACTGAAAAATTTTAATATTCATGTTAATAAGCTTTTTATCTAAAATTAAATGTTTCTTGACATTACTTTCAGTTACTTTCGAAACGTGGCTCAAATATCCTTCAAAAGTTTCTTTCACAAGTAAATAAAAGCCTTTTTAAGCATTTTCTACAAGCTTTTTTTTCATCTATAAGCTAACTATTTGATTGAAACGAAGGTAGTGTTCCAAATTCAGAAATTTTTTTATGCAAAATTTAAGCAGATATTATATTTGGAATAAATAAACATACTATTACACAAATATTCTAAATTAGCAATTAAAAGAATACAGTTTGAAAGAAACTTTCAAATGCTGTTCACACTTTCTTCCCCCCCCCCTTTTTCTTTTTTTAATTTTCAGGGGTAAGGTTAACATACAAAATATTCTGGGAAAAGTTCTCTAAAGAGATAAATTTATCACAACATTGTGACATTTTACCTTTACTACTGAATCATCACCCTTGCAACACTAAACACATTTTGAATTCTTTTGAAAAATCAGAACGTTAATCAATATTTAACAATATCATCTACGTGACAGTAAAAATATTACATTAAAAAAAGACAAGAAAAGAAACAAAGAAAAATCTCTGAATTGTTTTAAAATGGTGATAAAGAAATCATTTTAAAACATCCATTCTTTCGATGCAAAATATTATACTTCAACAAATATATAAATATTTCCTTAAATTAAACATTATTTTATACTGCCTTATTACTTATTCATCCTATAATCAGGAATTCTGCCGCAACTAATTATGTATACAAAAAATTCAGCCTAAAACATTAAAAAATACCCTACAGTAATTTAATGGTCTACCTTACTGCGGTACAGAGCTATTCGAATCTAAAATGTAAATTACGCTTTTTTCTGATATTGCAACTAATAAGCAGAGCAGTTATATCAAAACCTATAAACAGATTTGCTTACAAATAATCTTTTAAAGTTATATTTTTTCTTTTCTCTGACCTGCTATGGATGCCAAAAAGAAAAAGCTTATTAATTTATTCCAATGCAATAATAAAAGATGATAAACACTTGGAAGTTTTTACATCCGCGAAAGATTTCCGACCCACCTGGCTGAGTTGTTAGTTGACAGTGACAGCAACTAGGACTTCTAGCCATGGCCAAACCCATCTTCGCCTCGTCACCAGCGCCCACAGGTACTTACTTCGGTGTTGAAGCGGATGTTACCATCGGCGTTATCGAAATAAAGAACAAAAATATAACTCGAGAGGCCTCCTTCCCCACGTATATTACGTCACTGCGATTGTCTCGCACTTTAATTCGTGGAATAACAGAATGGGCTGTAGCTTCCTTTTTACGGCTCAGGTCATGGACTGTTATATTTCATAGCACTGGGGCATTGAGTAAGAATGTTTAGAATCAGATTTCCATTTTAAAAATAATCTACTTTTAATATTTACCACAATCAATAGAAATTTTATAAACAGTTCCGGGTCAAGGGAAAACAAAACAAAACAAATGAGAAAAAAGAAAAAGAAAAAAAGAAAAAAAAAAAAAAAAACTGAACTACAAGACCCACGTGTGGGTCGAATGAATAAAACCGTCGAACGCTGTTATGTATCAATATTTAAAAGCTCTAATAGTGTTCAGGAGTTCGATTCCCAAAAGAGGAATGGCTGTCAGCATAAGTAATTTGTTTCCGTAATAAAAATGCCCCCTCACACCTATTTATCTAATAAGAGATATCAATGATCGTCTACTTTTAACATTTAACATTTATCACAATTATAAGAATATAATAATTATTACAGATTAATATTTGTTATGCAAATATTCGTCAAAAGTTGGAATAATTTTAAATAAATGATATATTTTAATATCCAATTATGAAAAAATTAAAAAGTTATTATGTATGAGCATTATATTTTTATAACTACCAAAATTATTTATAAAAGAATTTCTATAATTAAATCTATCTCACGGGGCCGGCTTAACGGAATCATAGGCCTTTATAGTATTATGTGGCTCTTACCTACACCAACTTACTCAAAAATAAAAATAAATTTCCAAAATATGAGCGCTACACTCTCGGAGCCTAGGCCGTATCTCGGAGAAGGCGTCGTTACCTCATCATCTTAATCCAAAATACGTGTCTAATTCCATCAGCTTCCAGCCGTGAACAGCATTGTCTCAAAAGAAGGCATGACATAAAAGTCCACAAAACATTATTAAAACTGGCGCCTGATAAAAAATATTTCAATATGTCCATGAGCCTAATTAAAATACTTAAGAAGTCTGACCAAGTTCTCATTATTGATTCTTCTCCAGAATTTAAAAAGTTCTTAGAGAATATGAAGGATTCAAGTAGTATTAATTATTTTTTTAAATCAAAGTAATGGCAAATTTGTATTCACATCTTTAAGTCATTTAAGAATACTCAATAATTAAAAGACTTTAATACACGATAACATAACTAACTGATTTAATTTTTTTTCATCTAAAATAAACTTATTACTTGATTTTAAAGTTTTTTAATAAACTAAATTTATTTCTAACAACTTTAATTTTATTTATTAAAAAAACTATTTTATGCATTTCTTCACTATTCAAGCCGATAGTTCTTTCAGTATTTATGCAGTAAACGACGATTATCAAACTAATCAGTATTTTGAGGAAGACTGCCTCTCTCTCTCTGAAAGACAAGACATCGCCTATTTACTCCCGGCTACACTGTCTCCTTAAAAGTTGAACACATATCTATTTGCATTCAAAATTCTACTATTGCGGGAAATTTCTGAAAAGAACATATACATATATATCACCGTCTTGAATGCCTATAATTAGTACCGTTAGAGAAGAAAAAAGAAAGATATGGGAAAAGGGGGGGGAGAGAAATGAAAAGACATCGGAGAATAGATGGCCTTGAGATATGCAATCATTAAAAACTGTATTGTTTAAATGAAACGTAATTTGCTATCTCCTAAGAAACTAAAATACTAAAAGTACAGAAACCAAGTAAAATACAAAATAAATACGAACTTACGCAATACACGTCAGGCGTGATAACATTCTCAGTAAGCGTGTGCATTCGGAACACTGATCGCGTTCATTACCGAGAATGTCGCAACAATCGAAGCTGAATTAACAAAATACAAATGAGAAAGTTATCAAACAAGAAACCATATAACAAAAGCCATACATCTGCATTGCGATATTTCAGAAAGACCAAAGGCAGAGAGTAACAAAAATTAAACTCGCAGTTAAAGAGTAGATGACAAAAACCGACACCTGTACGGAGGAAGCTGGTAGCCAGTCTCCCCACCTCCTACCACTGCCGCCTCTCTCTCTCTCTCTCTGAAAAACAAGACATCGCTTTACGCGAACAACTATTGTCACACTTCAATATTTTCCATAGCTTTACTCATAGAAAAGAACTCTAATGACAAAGAAGCCGAGTTGGATCGCTCTTCAATCGTTCTTCACACATCTCTTCAGTCGTTCTTCACAAATAGTAATTCTTTAAAATCCAAAAATGTATATTATAGTTTATAAAATATATCAGTATTAATATATCCACTTAATTATCTATTTATTTTGATCCATACTTGAATTAAATGTATTTAAAATTTTGGGCACCAGAAAATTTTGATTTTTCCAATATTTTCAATCTAGTAAATCCAGATTGGATAGGCCAGCTTTTAGAATCAATGCCAAATCAAAGGATTATTTGGAAAAACCTGAAACTACTTTAAGTATGAGTGACCAACATTCCACAGTTTCCGATGTGCTAAGAACCGTCAAAATATGCCAAAGACGGCACATAGAATCCAATACTCGGTAATAACCACAATATAACCAACTATATTAACAGCGCGCCTGATACAATTGCATTTGCTTTTTAACACGAAGAAAATTTTGTTTACAATAGAAAAATCAGCATAATATTTTTATCTTTCTCTGAAATCTTGAAATTAACTCTAGGCTTATCTAATAAAATGGCTATGCGAATATTTTTTTCTGCTTTCAACACGATTGTCTAAACAGTTTCTTCACTGAACTAAGCATCTCCATTTAATGCGAGATTGCCGCAATATCAATTTAATTTCAAATGCTGCCGTTGTCTGAAAGTTCATTTATTAGTTGCTTCTAGTACTGTAGTCCCAATCAACCAAGTCTCATTTTTAATTCTTCAACGACACACAGCTTGCTGATGTCTGCATGCTCAAGTGCAATGGATGACATTCCATTCCAGCAATCTAAATGTTCCGAGTTTGAGTCTCTGCAATAGCACAGTCAGTCTAATTTCCAATAAAATATTTTAAACCTTACAGTAGTGCATAATTAAATTTGGAGAGACAGCAGATTCTTCAAAATCGTTCCATCTGGTAGGACCACGAACCTCCCCCCCACCCCCACCATCACAGAATTAAATCCTACTTCCAGGCAAACACTTTGTCGTTTAGTACATATTCCATCCTTCCATCCATCGAGCTATTTATGCCCGCGTGCCACAAGGGTCTCTATAAGTGCCCACTCTATTCATTATTTATGCGAAACGGCACTCCCTGCACATCAAATATTGCACTTGCAATGTATTCTGATGAAAGTGCATTCCTTAGTCCAGTCATCCTGCACTTACAAAATCACATAAAGCAGTTAAGACTTGGCTTACAAAATAGAAGATTAACATCGACAAAGCTGTCACCATCCTCATCACAAGAAGAAAAATTAACAAGTGTGTGTGTGTGTGATTATGGCAAAGCCTCGAGGGCTATCTGCCTAAAGGGAGGGATGCCTTCGTGGAGGACTTTCTAAGGGAAACTGGCTCGTATACACGTTACACATGGGGAAAACCACGAAAAAGCCCATGCAGCCAGCCCGTTCGCGGGATTCGAACCTCGGACCGAACTACCAGTGTTCAGCGACTATACCGCTCGGCCGCTGGTGGGCAAAAATTAACAAGAATCTCAACAGTATGGTACACTGCGTTAAGCAAGTCCCTTACCTTGAGGTGATCGTTATTAATTCTTTCTCATGGATCCAGCACATTATATCTGTCATTCAGAATTTTCGAGCGCGTAAAGCTAATTTTTGCCACTTAATTATTGCTCAAAACAACATTGCTTGTACTGACAAGTTACTCATCTACAAATCTATCTTGTGTCCCAAGCTGTATTATGCCTGTCCAGTCTCGGCGAGTACATTATTACCATCTGGCTCGTAACTTCCACGACTTCCAGCGGAAAACTAATAATATTGTAATAATTTATAATAAGATATGCAATTATGGTCGTAACAAGCCTAAGAATTATAAATGGTTAAAGGCCACCGTAAACACCCAAATCAACCATTTAATCCTATTATGCATCACACCCTATATTTTGTTTATTTTGTCTACTTGCTAATATTCACTAGTCTGCATTCTCAATCTGGTATAGTGTTCCTTTTACATATCGTATTTACAAGTGAGTCACTTGACTCGGGCCAAAAAATTTCACTTATTTTCGTGTTATTACTAACGTTTTTAATCTTAAATAATCAATCAGTTTGCCATTAGCATCACGTATGGCGATAACTGATCTTCCTTTGTCAAAAATTTCACTTATTTTCGTGTTATTACTAACGTTTTTAGTCTTAAATAATCAGTTTGCCATTAGCATCACGTATGGCGATAACTGATCTTCTTTTGTCAAAATTTATTTTTATTTACACAACTTGAACACCAACAGCAAATTATTGTTGAAAGTTTATTTCTAAGATAATATTTCTGTTCGATTTGGGATAGGGCCTTATAGCCCAGGTTCCCTAGTGTGACCATTCCATGAAGCAGTTGGAGCCGCCCCTCAGAAAAAAGGAGGCATATAGTGAACTGCCCAATTATAGTAGGTACATTCACCGATGAGATATATCGATTATTTATTATTGATGAGATTAGATTTCGAATCCCAGCTCGGTAGTAAGAGTTAATTTCATAGTATCTACCGACAGAAGAAAATTGCAGAGAATATGTACATTAAATAAATTAATTATAAGTACATGTAACCACAGGAATTTTTAAAAAATTGACTGATTACATAATAGGATACCTACAATTTATTAATCAAATTAATGTACCCATTAGTTGCAAATGTAGCGCTTTATGTAAAGACTATATGAAAATTATTTGAAGGACTCATTCCTAGAAATTAGACACCACAAGGTCCAAAATCAAGAACATATTCTCTTTTGCGATT